ATATATATATATTTAACTTTTAGATGTAAATGTTAGTGTAAAGTTTAATTTGAATGGTATGCATGCTAATATAAATATTTAATTGTTAGATATGTAAATATGTAGGGCTGTAAACGAGCCGAGCTTGAGCGAGCTTAGGCTTGGCTCGTGTTCGGCTCGTTCGAAATAGCTCGTGTTCGAAATCGGCTCGTAAACATTGTGTTTGTATTCGGCTCAATTTAAATATTTGTGTTCATGTTTGGCTCAAAATTAGCTCGTTAAACCTAAATTGAGAAAAATGGACGTAAAGTGTGAGATTCGAACATGGATCAAATATGTACAAAAGAATACACTAACTACATTGCCACATGAGGTGTTATGTTTTAAACTTAGACATAAATATATATAATATAGTATTATATAAATAATATATGTAATATATTGTTATATAAATAGTTATATAATATTAGTAAGTAATGTTATTTATTTCTTAAACTATTCTCCACGCATTGTCACTACTTGAAGTAGACTCCTCGAATTTTTTTAAGAGCTTGTTCGTGTTCGGCTAGTATACTTAGCGAACGAGCGGAACACGAGCTACTTAACGAGCCGAACACGAGTTGTTCGCGAACAATGAGCTTTTTTGACAAACCTAATTGTATGGTATGGTATGCACGTAAAAATCCCTAAAAATAAACTTGAGCCTATCTCTTTCTCGTTTTATTTGGATAATTATATTTATTAAATTTTATTTAAAAATATTAATCAAAATTTTATTTAAAATTTGTGCACAGTATTTGGTGTAATATTTTATTATAAAGTCGTGTGTTCAAATCACAAAATGTTATTTGAGCTCATATTTCATGGAAAAAAAATTATTTACAATTTATTTTAATTAAATTGTATACAAAGAAATATTATGAGGGTATTACATTGTATCATACCCCAAATTAGTATGCCGGGGGAAGTTGGCCCGTCAAAAAATTCACTTGGTTACAAAACTTATTGTAAGAGATAAAAAGAGATAAAAGATCCTTTCCCCCTTCGAAGATGGAGATCTCTCTCAAATCTTCTCTTCTCTTGTATCACAAGAGAAAAAAATATTAAAATAATAAGAAATAATTACAAAAATAGCAACCAAAATATTGTTATTTACAAAATCTAGTTTCTAGGTGATATTTTTGAACTATCAAACCGATGTATGTATGTGTACTACGATCAAACGAGAATTAGATAAAAATGAGAAATATGTGTAGGGGTTCTTATGATGAATTTTGATATTTGAGTGAGAATTGAAAAATAGATGAAATAGGATGGTAGGTAAACTGAAGATTACAAGTACAACATATTGTCCCACAAGGGAGAACGAATTACAGTCTCCTGACTTAGAACGTCATTGCACGGATAAACTTGTCACAAGAAATGTGTGGTGGTTACCGACAAATGGTGGTCGACCGTAGCAGGCGTGATGCTGAACTTAAACTCTTTTTTAAAGCTTCAAGCTCATTCTCATGCCTCAAGCACTCTCTCCCCCTCAAGAGCTGGGACCACTCAGACAAATTGCCTTGACCAGACAATGTTTGATGTAATTAATACAGAAATACGAAATACTTTGATGAAACCACCCAGATAAATTGCCTTGATCAGACGATGTTTGATCGATATTTGACTATTATTCAACAGCCTCACAACTACTTTTTAATAAGCTGCAACTATCTCAAATAGATTCTAATGGTCCGTTTAGGATTATTATAGTTTTTTTTATGGAGTAATTATAAAATTATAATAGAGAAATATTTTTAAAAGTTATACGACAATCATAAATGTAAATTTTTTTTTTCTAAAAGTTTGACAGCAACTTTATCATAACTATAACACTTTTAACAAATCTGATTGCAAAAAACTTCTCATCACCAAAAAAATTTTAGAAAATTATAGGAAATAGTTCCTCAAACAAAAGAAATAAATTATAAATATGTCCATATGAACGTCTTTTATTATAAAAAACACCCAAATATGTGCTAATGAACGTTAAGAATTCCAATTGACGCTCGGAAAATCAGCACCCACAATTTCATTTTTTTTTTCTTTTTTTCTCACCAATGCTTCGATAAAAAGCATTTCATCAAATCCTCAATATTATATAGGGAAATCTAAATACATACATATATACATACATACATACATACATACATACATACATACATACATACATACATACATACATACATACATACATACATACATACATACATACATACATACATACATACATATATATATATATATATCAATATATTTATATAGATTCGTTTACCGTTTTAATATAGTTTCAAACAGATGTGATTTCCGCTTGTCAATCCTTTTCTAAATGCTCTAATGTAGATCATATGTGGGCCGAATTTAAAAGTCAAAAAGCCCATAAGAACTCCAGAAACACGTAGCATGTCCGGGAACTCTCCAGATCCACTCTCTAGAAAATTCGATTAATATCGTCGCCTCCCTATAAAGGAGACGCCTCTCCCCCAATTCTCGCATCGAAACACGAACAGTACACTAATAATCACCAGTCGTTCTAACAAAACAACAAAAATGTCGATCGTTCGTCGGAGCAACATCTTCGACCCTTTCTCCCTCGACCTCTGGGACCCCTTCGAGGGTTTTCCCTTCGGCGGCTCCAGTCTATCCTTCCCCCGATCCAGCCTCTTCGGCGAGACCTCCGCCTTCGCCGGCGCGCGCTTCGACTGGAAGGAAACACCGGAGGCGCACGTGATCAAGGCCGATCTGCCAGGGCTGAAGAAGGAGGAGGTGAAAGTGGAGGTGGAGGAGGGGAGCGTGCTCCAGATCAGTGGGGAGAGGAAGCGGGAGAATGAAGAGAAGACCGATACCTGGCATCGCGTGGAACGCAGTAGCGGCAGCTTTCTACGACGCTTCCGCCTCCCGGATAATGCGAAGGTCGATGGTGTTAAAGCTGCAATGGAGAACGGCGTCCTCACCGTTACTGTACCTAAGGCCGTGGTTAAGAAGACCGATGTGAAGTCGATTGAGATCTCCGGCTGAGGAGCTTTCTGCGTGCGCTGCAAAAAGTTCGGGAAGTGGTTTTCTGTGGGTTTTGGAAACGTGTTTTTGTTTAAATTGTTACGTTCTCGTGTGTTGGATGTCTTGCGAAGTATCTCTGCTTACTATATGATAAGTAATATTGTGATTGTCCTGACATATTTTCAATGGAAATGCGAGCGTTTCTCCTTTATCCTATTAAATTTCGTAAATGAGCTTTATCTTTTTTTTTTTCTCTTAAAACTCATTTGATTTGATTTTGCCATTCGGGAGAAGTCGGGGGGTAAGAATCTTAATCCTTTTAGATTTGAAATTTTGAATGGGTTGAACATCTAGCATAAGTTAACCCTTGAGAAAACGTATGGGTTACATAGAAGAAGCCTGAATCCTTCTGGCCAGCAGATTGAGTAGAGCATGAATTCATCAGAGAGCATAATGAACTTTTACCTCTCTGGGCTTCCTCCTCGTTTGTGTTTTCTACACATGCTCGTATTTCAAATGGCTGCACAATCTGATTTTGATTTACCGAAGTGCGCAACTAGGACAATGAAGCCATCTATTGTTTTTCATTTATGGAGAAAATATTATGCATGAAGTGCGGCTTCTTACTAGTTAGTTAGTGGTCTCTGGTTAAGAGTAAATGGCCTCAAATTGGAAAAAATTATTAGAGGCAGATTCCTCATAATAGTGTGGAATCATGTATTACAATCATATACATCAATGCTATACATTATTGAATGTATGTTGTATAATAGTGTATGATATTATGCATGAAATTCGAATGCATTTGGATTCTTTACGTAATATTCTTTCCTCAAAATGACTTTCGTGCAGAAGGTTTGGGTTAGGGTTAGATGAAGATTTGGGTTTGGGTTATTGGGCATGACACAAAGTTGTACTAAATTAATTTTACTAGGGCTAAACTTGAATCCACATGTAGACCGAGGGAGAGGTCTAATTATTAGGTGAGGGCGCACGCAGAGTTGCGTGCGGCCTTCGAAAGCCGCGAAGAGCTGCGCGTGCCCTCCGATCAAAGCCGCGAAGAGCTGTTGTATGACTCGAGGGAGAGTGTACAATATTATGGCTGTAAAAATGGAAAAATTATTCCATACGGATCGGACACCGCACGGTGTCCGATCCGTAAATCACCTGATCTACGGTTCGGATGCATTTTGGTGGGCCCCACCTAATTTTTTTTATTTTAAAAAAACGGAAATAATCCTGACCGTAGATCACCGTGATCTACGGTCAGGATCGGACACCGCATGCAGAGATGCATGCGGTGTCCGTACGCAATAATTTTTCGTAAAAATGAGGGGGTTGTAAAATTTTTTTATTAATGGAATGATCCTTTATCTATGGATAAAAAAATAAAATATGTATAATTATATATTTGATTCTATTTTAATGAGAGTTTTATAAAGTATTTTTGGTATTTATATAAATGAATTCATGGTTCGACTATTCCATCGCTGAATTAGTTTAAGAGTAGTGGGTCTTAGTTTGACAAAATCTACTTGCCTGATTATTTTGGGGTTCATGGTTGCCAATTGCTTTATTAATCTTTAGTTGTTCAGATTTAGCTTGATCTATCAGTTTATTGGATAATCTGCTGATAAACGGATTAAAAATAATCTGCTGATAAGCTATGTGTGGTGGCTATTATAAATTTTTAGTTTTTTTGAAAAAGTCAGATCGCTGCCAGAAAGCTGCCACCGCACCTTGATAGGTGTGGTGTGAAAACGCTGTTTTCAGCGTTTTGAAAACGCACAAGCTGCCAAAGTATAGTTTACTCAAACAGGTCAGGTGCGTTTTCAAAACGCCGCCGCACTAAATATCCTGAGAGTCTACTAGTTGTTTAGAGTTTACTGTTCGGCTGATTTGTTCAGGTTTTAGATGAGTTCTTGTTATTAGAATTAGGTGAATGTTGTTGAGTAAAAGATGGATTGTTGTAATCTGATAGGTAGCTCAAAATTTAGTTCGGGGCCCTTCTCTTACAAGGAGTCTGGCGATGTTGTAATCTGAGGGCTGCTTGATGCATTAACTCCAAAGATTAGTTTTGAATTCTGATCAAAGGAATTTGCATGTGGCCAACAATGTCATTTGATCTTCTCATGATGGGATTTTTGGTCTTTTCTTTGTGGGTCGTTCTTGATTGTAATTTTTGTACTTTCCTTACGAGCCAGTGTTTTGGATGCATTTCTGATGATGGACAGCAAACATAATATATTGTTCAGGTTAAATTTGAGTCCTTTTGACGTATGAACGGTTTATCTTAAATTTGACCTGAAAACATTTACATACTACGACTTTTTAACCCAAATCCAAACAACTTGAACTTGAATTTAAATGTTTTTTAATTATACTTATTAGTTTTTGTTTCATTTATTCAAGGAAGATATAAATAAAAAAATAAAAGATTTGTGTAACATGAGAGACTAGAGAACAGGAAAATTCTCTGTTTAGAAAGTCAGAAAATGATACAAACTAACGGGAGAACAATAATTTAGCAAATAAAAATAGCCACAACAGCTCAACTGAAAAAAAGCTTATTGGTACCTGTAAATAGAGCTATTATTAATGGGAACTCCACCAGCATCATGTTGCAGATATTTCATATAATATTTGGATCCTCTTGACAGATTTATACGTTTTCTCCTTTCTTCTGGAATCGACTCGAATGGACAAGCTTTGAACCCACGTCTCACAAACCTGTTAATAAAGTCATTTTTTGTAATATGCGTTGCCTGGAACTTTGCATGAAAAAAATTATCCCATTACCAAAAACACACTGTTTTATGGGGAATTAACATACATACCACTCCCAAACTTTGCTTTTTTACATTTGCTAACACTGAAATTTTTCATATCACAATCAGAATAAACATCATTTTAACTTCTAAAAGTGAAATATGCATTCTCTTACATAATTATGGTGGTTTGCAAGTAAAAATTGAATTATAGATGCTACATATGCAAATACATAGAAATTCAGTGTTATGTATGTAAATCTTCCTTCTTTTAATTCAGCTCGATACAAAGGTTAAATGGAATTAAGTAGCAGCATACCAGTCAGCAGTACGGGTGGTCAACAAGAAAAGTTTCTCAAGCCCAAGGGAAGATGCCTTCTTCTCAACATAATCTGTAGAAAAATAGCCATGAAACTTAGCTTAGAGAAACTACCCCTTCTTTTTTTATAATTGCCAAGCATGATGATGCATCTATATGTACAATAATAGTTAGAAATGCCTCTTAAAGCGTACTTTATAAACAGAATTATGATCACATTGTCTCAGTTTGTTATTATCAATCAGTGTGTAAGCATGCCAAACCAAGTATATAACGCCTTCATTAATTTGCACAATCATGTTTTCCTTAGTGGAACTAATTTTAAGAGGGGTTTCCCTATAGATTTCTTATTTAGAATGTTCAATGCATAAATATTTCATATAGAATTTTCCTTCTAGATTTCCATGCGAGAATTCATTCAACATCGAGCTTTTACAAATTTCATAAAAAATTGGCAATCAGCAAACATCAACACTCTCATTGTGCTAATCTTTGCCACCTGGTTGAACATTTCTTGGTAGTTAACATTTGTAATCCTTCGCTACTAACCTTGCTTTATTCGTTCAAGAGTCTCTCTCCCAAATTTTGTTCTATTAAAGTGCTTCCATTGCAACTTTTATAGCATGTTTCCACTCTTTAATGTTTATGAATGGCTATTGAGTTTATGTGAAGCAGAAAAGCTTCTTATGAGGAAGACAATCAAAGGAAAAGCATGCAATTGGGTGTACGCCATCGAGCCTCTTTTCTAAAATGGGTAATACTAATTCACTTGTATACACCCAAACTGTAAGCATGAATCTTGAAGCAGTTGAACAGCCCCTATGGTGTTCAGACAATCAAGATATCCTACAATCCAACAAGCGACCGCGTGATCAGAATTGACCAACACACTATTTTGAGAGATTCAATCGACGGACTGCAACCGCAGTCCCAACCGACCAAGACGCATGCAAGAGTTTTTTATCGCAAGCTAGTCGGCAACCCACTTAAACTACGGCGGACGAGATCACTATTCAACCTGGCGCCTCAGTCGATCGAATTCAAGCAAGCAGACCAGCCAATTACCATTTTATATTAGAATTGAAATTGTAATATAGATATGGTATAAAATCTATACAATTAATTAAAACATCAATTATATTAAGAACGGTTTCCATAATTATTCTCTTTTTTTATAATTGTATAAATACGTTTGTATACATAAGAGACGAAAGAACAAATAAAAAGATATCTCTCTGTTCTCCCTATAGTGAATTCTTCAATTATTCCCTACTTCATCTTTCCTATTTCATCTGCCTCTAACACTCGAGATGTGTTCACAAAGGATAATTTATGATTCAACATCCTAAAAAGTGGCGTGATGAGGGCGGACATGCCCCAAACGAGAAGTAGAGCCAACTATGACAGAAAATCCTTCCAGAGAAATTCGGCGCCAATGGAATTTAATAGGGAGATAGTACGTCCAAACATATAGGAAGAAGTCTAGGAACTGCGAACACAAATAATAGACCAGTTCAAAGCACTTCTGATGGTCATGATCCTGAACGCCCGACCACCACTCATGGAGGGAGAGTTTCATGGAACTCGCCCCCAAAGGGCTCCTCTCGACAAATTGCAAGCACCCCACGGTTGGCTTAGTCACCTGCCAAAGGAAGATCCAGAAGATTCTCACTCGGAAGACAGAGCCGCATCTACTATGGCGGTCCCACATCGAGCAAACTTAAGTAGAAATGTGTGCTCGACCAGCATGAGTAGCGCCTTCTCTCAAAAAATCCTAAAAATAATACCCCCGACAAGCTCATAATTCCTCATTTTGATCCCTATAAAGAGAGAGACCCGACCGATCACTTCGACTCTTTTGAGTTGACAGTCTTGTAGGTCGATGGCTCCATGAAATGTCGGTTGTTCCTGACTATGCTGAAAGAAGCCACGCTCTGATTGTTTAACAACCAACCGGATAGAGTCATCCCATCGTTCTTCGAATTTCGAATGCTCTTTCTAGCGCACTTTACTAATGTATAAAAGTCAAGGAAAGATATTGAAAGCCTACAAGCTTACATCACTCGCTTCCAAAAGAAAATATTAGAGATGAAAAACTTGGAGCCTCTCATCGCTCGGACTGCTCTGAAACAGAGGATCCGCAGCAAACGATTCAGGTATGACCTGAACTTAAGCCAAAAACCTTTGTGGAGGTCTTAGCAAATGATCACATTGTTGCCTAAGAAGACCTTATGGAGTCCCCAAAAACTAAACCGAGCGGATCGGCCACATCAAGCGGAAGGACCGGGAGGACGACTGAAGGTCAAAAAGTGACTGAGCCTTTAACCGAAGATCGAATGGCAATCTGAGACCTTGGGACAGCCGAAAGGGCATCTGAGGCAATCGAGGTCAACAACAACGCCCCTCCGACCAGCAACTTTCCAGGTACTTCAAGATACAACATGTATATCAGGGGATGCAAGGATCGACACCCCTTAATGTGCCGATGGTCAAACTCGTCCAAGCCATCCAAAATAAGGACTAGTTCAGTCATAATTAAGTTGCACCTCCATCGGGATCAAGGGCCACGGTCTTCTGGCGAGGGACTCTCAACGCCTGCCCCTCTGGATCCTCAGATGAGTCGACCTGATAAGTCAACCCAGCTTCGGGCTTCAACCGTTTCCTTTTCTTAACTCTATCCTTCTTTACAGAAGTTAGAGGTCTGAAGCCTACCTTCACTAGAATTTCGTGGTCTAAGTCGGTCCAGCTCAAACCATGAGCCATGTACAACTCAATTATCCAAGACGGAATAACGACAACGAATGCAATGTCTAGCCTATGACTATTCTTGTTCGTCTCGTTTATAATTCGAACTTAAAAAAATTATTTGTGTTCGACTCATTTGCTTGACAAACGAGTAAAAACACGAGTTGTTCGCAAACAACAAGCTTTTTGACAACCCTAGTTGTAACTGCTTTTGTGATGTCATTTGACGGCAAAATCATGTAGACACATGAAATTTTAGGTCGTGAATTCAGAGGTGATTGATAGTGCTGAAATGCATGAAGGCATTTATATATTCAAAGAAAATCTTTAAACACACAAATGATCTCACTTCCATTTTCTATTGAGTCCATACAACAACAACAATAACAAAGCCTTAATCCCAGGACGTGGGGTCGGCTACCATGAATCTTTTTTCTCTATCTTTTTTCTCTATTGCGTCCTATTTAGTGTCATATTTAAAGACATGAATCATTGAGATCTATTGAGTTCGTGTCTATCAAAAAAATCATATCTTGCTATGGCAGGGTCATTTGAGTCATCTCAATTTCAATTATGTTTCTACGTAGTATCGTTATTTTCTTATCAATAAAAAATTAAATTTTTATCAATGTGAGATTTGTTAGCTTGTAAAAAAAACTAGAAATAGACATCCTTTCACCCAATACAAACTCTCACACCTTTTTGCTATTATTCATAATGATATTTGAGGATCTTCAAAGGTTAAAACTCTAAGCAAGTTAGACGATTTATCTCATTTAATGACAATCATACTAGAACTACCTGGTATCCCCAATGAAGAAAAATCTAAAACAGCCCAAATCTTTCAAACCTTCCATGACATGATTCAAACTCAATTCCAATGCAAAATTCATATCCTCAAAATTTATAATGCAAATGAATATTTTAACTTCATCTTTGGATCATATCTTTCAAAAAAATGAACTCATTGATGTGAGTTCAAGTATTAATATTCTTCAACAAAATAGGATAGTTGAGAAAAAGAACAGTCATCTCCTTGAAATGTCCCACTAAATTATGATATCGCATCAAGTTCCTAGGCATTTTTTGGGGGAAACAATTCTTTTTGCAATATACCTTATCAACTGAATGTCTAGTCGAGTAATGAACTTCAGAACACATCTTCATGTTTTGATGATTACTTATCCTCAAATCAGAGATTTATATTCCACCGTCCCACTTAAAATCTGTGAGTGCATATCCTCTGTTCACAATCATTCCCAAAATTGCACAAAAATTTAATCTTAAATCTATAAAGTATTTTTCTTGGGTTTGTCACCAACAAAAAGAAGTATAAGTGTAACTCATGTTACTAGAAAAACTACAATTCCATTAATATTACATTTTGTTAAAAATGAATCACACTATCTCAAATCAAATGTGTTTCGCCGTCCAACCCCCCTGTTTCGCTGCCAATGTTGTTCCAGCCCTAACCCATTTGCCGCCACCGTTGTTCCAGCCCTACACGCTAACTGTCATCGTTATTATAGCCCTCTACCCTCGCTGCCACTGCTGGTCCAACCCTCCCTCTTGTTTGTCATCATCCTAGATAACCATGCCATGTATATTAATATAAATCATGTACTTGATGTCCGGAACCCGGGAAACAGTTGGCTCATTGCTTTCAGCTTCCCAACCACATTGTTCACCATCCCACCACCTTCCAAACCCTCGTCAATTATCACTACAACCACGAGATCCATCATATATTGAGTATCTGTGCTATGTCTGTTGCTATTTCAGATTTCTAAATATCTTGTTGTTGTATTTTCCCTTTTAAGTGTGTTAATTGTAACTGTTTATTTGTTTTTAGTAATAATATTTTATTTTTATATTATTGTTTGGGTTAGCTTCGATATCAGTACTTGCAATAGGCCTATAGCGATATTTTGTGATTGTCAAACAGCTATCAGTGTTGTCAAGAATTTTGCGCATCATGACAGGACCAAACATATTAAAGTTGATAGACACTTCATCTCTTAAAAGTTTAACGAGGGAACTATACAACTAAGTTACATCTTGACACTAATAAGTTGATGACACCAAAGTTCTTCCTTTAAGCTCATTCTCAAAATTTCATAACCAAGTTTAGTCTCTACAACATCTACGACTTAGCTTGAGAGAGAGTGTAAAAATCTGAGAAGATTCTGGAGGAAATCTGACTTAGCTTGAGGGAGTGTGGAAATCTGAGAAGATTCTGGAGGAAATCTGAGAAGAACCTGGAAAATTTGATAGGAACAAATTAGGAAATTCTTGATTAGTTTGTTCACTTCCTATTCTATGTTTTTTCTTTTTTCTTTTTTGCAAAATTATTTCTTTCCTAATTTAGGTTAAGTATATTGGCTAAGTTTGTAAATTAAGAGGATTGCTTTCCTGTATACATGTATCATAAACATGAATAATATGAATCAAGAGAATTATTCATCTCCAAGTTTATTTTCCACAATTCAAAAAATAAAGATTAAGGACGTTTTCATCCTTCTTTAATCAAGTAAAATCCTCAATTATTTCAAATGTTCAACTCTCTTAAGGCAGAATGATACTCGACCTGGCCAGATTCTCAGCTAATTATCTTTATTTCTGTGAATTGGGTGGTAGCTTCAAGCCTTCTAATGAACACAAGTTTTCCATTCATGTAATGTTTTATTGCAACTTGGATTGAGCTAGCAAGTATTCAAATGGTTCACAATAGACAAAATTATCCTCTTCCTCAACAAGCAGTGATTGTGGTACTGTATTGCTTAGCATAATGCAACTCCTTGCATGTATTGTAGCAGTTGATGATGTCTATGTAGAGCTATCTACTTAGGAGATAATGCCTTCAATGTTTTACTGCTTGGTGTAAGGAGATAACTTCTATCATGTGTCTTAAAATCAAATCCAAATTGGTCCTCTTATTATTCGAATATGGCCAATATAGTTCCAGAGTATTGCGGTGGTCAAATTAGTCCTCTAACTATTGAAAATTGATTCTCTCGGGTACAAAATGGAGATCTTTTTTTATAGTTGAGTGACTAAATTGGGACCATTTTCAGCTTCTTTAAGATGACTTCCACGGCAAACAAATAGTATCTCGGTAAGTTATCATTGGTCAATAAACAAAGAAGCACTTGGTTCAACAAAGTAAAAGATGCTTCAAGGACTTCAAAAATTTTCAGGATTGAAATTGCTTAAAAGAGAAAACTCTATATAATCAAGCATGACATGGTAAAGAGTAGCAACTATTGATTGCTTTAATAGCTGAATTGATAGGCCGTCTAACTAAATAAATCAAAATCTAAAAATGTCATTCGAAGTTATCACTAATAGAGTTTTTAAATATAGCCACAGCAGGCAATGAAAAAAAAAAACGTTAGTAATTAGAAATAGCCACTCCTTCCTATTAACAGCAATATTTCTTTGGCTGTTCAGATCCTGCAGGCCTCTAATAATCCATAAATCCCAATGCTAATAACATAAAAGTAAAATTTCAATAAGAAAACTCAAGAAAAAAGTAACCACAAGCGTAAGCAGGGATACCGAGTAGTCTGTCTCCTTGTCCATTCCCTCGGCAGGAGATACAGCAATGGCAGCAATCTCACCACATTTCTCCTTGAAAAAAGAGAAAAGGGCAGCACAGGCTATAACTGAACCATCTCGCTCTACTACAACAAATGAACCTGACTCCAAAATTTTCAAAAGCTGAAAGGAAAAGACAAAATTTAGAGGGTTTAGTTTCAATTTAAGATCCATTTGGTTGAAGAGTTTCTGGTTTTTTAAAAGAAACGGGGAAAATAAACTCAAACCTCTTCATTGGTCCTCCGAATTAGTGTTCCTGATTCTTCCAAAGGTTGAAGAAGTTGCTGTATACCAAGAAGATCTTCCACTCTAGCTGTCCGAGTTCCCTCATAGACATCACTAGAGAAAACATAAAAAATCCATGAAAGTCAACTTTAAGAGATTCTAGTGAAGGTGCTTTTACATTTAGCTAAAACATTAAGTCAGTATGATCAACAACTCCATTTGAAATATATATATATATATATATATATATAAGATATATATATATTAAAAAGAGCACATGATGAAAGCCTTCTAGATTATAATTGTACAAGTACCAGCTTAAATAAATTTTTATCATCTCCGTACAGTCAATGACTATCACAGATCTTGAATCACTTCAATGTGTAAGATTGATTTCAGAAGGAATAGACAAGGCAAGAATGCATCATATTTACAGTAATATTATAATACAAACACGTTTTAAAAAGATGAATTGAGCTTCCACATGATGCAGTCCATTCTCTATAGAAGAAGCTACAAGAAAGTATGGGTAGAAAATTGGATTCATCAAAGATACATGTTTCTGTACCTAGCCACCATAGTCCCAACTCCATCCCTTGTAAATAATTCCAACAGCAAGGCGCCACCAAGCGTGCCATCAATTACATGTACTCTTTGCACTCCACCCTGTTCATTGAAAAAGAGACTAATTAATGCAATTTTTTTAAAATTGCATTTAGATATGGTTTTAGCTGCCTTTTTGCAATATGAATTTAAGAATATTTGCATAAGAAATTGATCTTACATCAAGAATTATTAGAATAAAATAGGAACAAAAAAAAAAGCAAACAAAAAGAGGAATAACTTTAACTATGGTTTATTAGTTATTAGGGCTGTCAAAGAGTTCGTTGTTCGCGAACAGCTCATCTTTGGCTCGTTAAGTAGCTCGTGTTCGACTCGTTCGTCCAGTAAACGAGCCAAACATGAACAAAAAAATTTAAGCTAGAATTATAAACGAGACGAACACAAACAAATCTTTGTTCGCTCATGTTGCACATATATATATATATTTAGCTCGAAATAAAAAAAAATATATATAATTATTTATATAATAATATATTACACATATTATTTATGAAATAATATATTATATATATTTATATCTAACTTTAAATCATAACAGCTAGTGTGGTAATGTGGTTTTGCGTTTTCTTTTATATATATTTGGTCCAGATTCAAATCCAACATTCTACATCTATTTTTTTTAATTAACGTTAAAGAGCCAATTTCAAGCAGAACATGAAAAAAAATATTTAAATCGAGCCGAACATGAACATACTGTTCACGAACCGATTTCGAACACGCGCAGTACGAGCCGAACACGAGCCAAGCCTGAGCTCACTCAAGCTCAGCTCATTTGCAGACCTATTAGTTATCAGGTTTATTTAGCAAAATCCTAAAAGATCAGATGTTCATACTGTAAGCAGGAAGAGAATTAGATCTCGAAAGAACCTAAAACTATAAGAATTGTGATAGTCTATAAGTAGGTCAAAACAAAGCAATAACATCAAATGGAAGTTTGACATACCCTGCACACATAAGCTGCTGCAGCCAATTCTGATAAATAGCCATTTGATCTATTCACTTTCTCTACACCTCCAATAGCAAATCCCTGCTCCATGGTCCATAGACTATTTACACTGTCAAAACCAACACCATTTTGGAACCTTGGACGGTTACTTGTGCTATCTGTCACATCCAATATAGTAGACAAGATTCTAGTTGAATCAAGAGAGCTAGCACAGCTAATATTTTCTTCACCGACAAGTTTGACATAATTTGCAGCTATTTCGCTTTGCTTAGCTCGCTGTCTGATCAACTTATCAGCATCTTGGAGAGTCATGAAACGAATTAGCCATCCATTATTGTCACGAATCTGGCCATCTACAATGCAGATCAACTTATCAGCCTCAATTGCTAAGGCGCAAGCGGTTGCAACTTCGTAAGTGCTGGGCAATTCAATAAACAAAAAAGAGTCACACTAGCTGGAAAGTTTAATAAGGAAATCCTAGATTAAGATAAAATCCATGAAAAGGGGCAATTAAAACAAATAATAATACTACAAAAAAAAGGAGATTAAAAGAATAAGATATATAGTTAAAAAGAAAATAAAATGAAAATAGATTGAATAGTAAATGAAAAAAAAAGACTTGCAGACTTCTAATGACAAGAAAAATTTCAACACTCAGGATGAACAAGCATGAACATAGCCAAACCGCAGCAAATGTTTATTAATTAAATTAGACTACTTCAAAGAAGATTCCTAATTTGAATTCAAAAAAGTATACAAACGATTCAAAAATTTACAAAAATAAATAAACAAATAAATCATTTCTTAAACATGAGCAATTGATTCTATCCTATTAGTGAAAGCAGTAAATTTAACAAATTTCTTAAATCATAGAATTTTAACATAATGAGACAATAAAGTCACTTGTCCGGCATAGAAAAAGAAAAATTGAAAGCAAAATAAAAAAAAAAACCACCAATAAAGTGCATCGAGAAAAAATAAACAAAAAATAATGATTAATAATATGATTGAAAAAAAGCTAAAGCGTACTTGCAATTTAAAACTTCTCCTGTACTGGAATAGCCAAGATTGCTTACAATGACAATGCAATCTCTATCCAGCCTTTCTTGAATTCTAGAGACATCTATTCTTTTCACTTCACCAGTTGCTCCAAAATCAATTCCTTCAACAACTCCCCTTCTCTGTCAAAGAAAAAATATTAACCTATTTAATAATGGAGAGAGGTCAGATCAGATTAAAAAAAAAAAAACTTTCTTTCCAAAAACTCCAGGAAATATTTAATATTAATTATAGTTAACATTTCAACTGGGAGAGAAGATAAGAAAATTGTTGGAAAATATAAACAATAGTGCACGGGTGGTTGATATAGAGGCGCCTCAATCTATAAAATAAACAAATACTCCTAAATAAATGATTTTACAGCGAAAAGAATGTTCAAACAATTTCTTTTGAAAATGTTGGTTTCAATTAGCACATAATGAGTGTCCTTGAAAGAACAACTTGAGTATAAAGAGTAAGCAAAGCTTCCCTTACATGACATGGTTACAGACGCTGAGAGAATTCTTAGAAGGCATCTTGCATACAAAGAGTCTTTTATACAGAGCGGCAGCGAAAAAAAAAGGAAAAGAGAAAAAGAGAATCCAACTTCTACCAGTAAAAAGAGGGAAAAAGGAAGGAAGATAAAAGTTCAAATCAATCTCAACTGATCCAAATATAAGCCAACAATTCCTACTTATAGAAATAGAGATACAAAGATAACATTAAGCATTTTGAAATTAAATATAATCCTAACTAAACCTAAGGAATTCATAATTTAAACCAAGTATTATAACAAAAAAAAATACTAATTCCAATAAAAAAAATCCTCATTTAAAATTAATAAATGAAAATCATATATATATATATATATATCAAATTCCTCAAACCCAATGAATTTCTTCTACAAGGAGTAACAAATTATACAGAAGCTCCTTTGAAGAAGGTCAAGGAACTGCTTAACGAGTCTCTTTTGAATATTTAAAATGCTTCAAACTAAGCACAAAAAAGTGAATTGGGATGTGGCTGTTTCAATGCATTATTCATCTTCCTCCTGGTAATCTTATAGACATGAACTTTTCTTTATTGATTGACCATTTTAATGCAGCATGCCATTACATGTTGATGTGTCACCCTTTTAATATCCCTACATGGTTTGTTCTGATATAAAGTTTTACTATTTTTTAATATGTCTAAAGAGTATTTTTATGTTTCGTTGTGCAATTCAATTCATGAATCAGAATAGTATAACACGGTTCTTGAATCTCTTATTGTGGATGTACTTAGTGAAAAAGATTGGCGCCCTCTACAAATTCCTCTCAAACCAATCCAAGATGTCATCATGAGTGGATGATTGAATGAAATTGTTCCTACGGATGCATATTAAGAAGCCTTCAAGCCAAGTGCACTTTATGATGCAACCATGGATATTAAATCCTTCGAGAAATTTGCTTAAGCATTAAAGAATTTCTCCCTTCATTCTCCTTTATAAAATTTTGTGTAAATTAGAATGCACTATTGGTCGAAGTCCTAATTAAGAGTTTTATGGTGTCAACATAGTATGTGCTTAGAAAATTTTGACGCCCCCGGACTCTTTGTTATATTTGAATTGTTGACAGAGCTTTGGAGGGTCAAATTTTCAAAACGCGGATGAGATAGTAGATAAGGCACTCTCCAGATATTTCGCCCTCATTATGCGAGGAATTTATGATCTGGGATTTGAGGCTTCCCATAGAAGCAAGTTCCAATAGTTAATTATCTCTCCCGATGACTGGAGAACACTTTCGATTAAAACTAGTCGTTTAACAACAAATATTTAGCATATAATAGCAGCAGACTTAGATTTTTAAATTTTAAAATTTTTCACTTAGAGCTTAAAGCAGATGGGGGGAAATGATGACAAACCCGATCAAGATTTCATGGTTATGTCATCTTGGGTCATCAGAAGAGGTAGTCAACCCAACTTACTAAAAGATCTTTGTCAGCAATCATGGGTTGCATCATTCAAAGGACCCTTGTAGAGCTTAGGTGGATTTTTTTCAAAAGACCTTAGCTAACAAAAAGTTTTATGTCAATTAATTATATCCTTATGATTCACAACTCAAAGAATAGCAAATCATTGAGGAACATACAGATTGTGGATGTGATTGTAATATAATGGTGTCATTTGACAGCAACCACCAAGTTAGAGGACTCTAGTCATAATCTCTACTTTGTGGTGTCATTTGCAAGGAATACCACGCGCACAAGGGTCTTAGGCAACGTCCTTACTGACATGCAATTTCTTTGACTGTGAATATAGGGATACACTTAATGTGACATTCACCTTTGTAAGCTGAAGTCGATTAAAAGTTGTCAACCTTGACAAACTGTTGTAGAGAGCGGATGAGATATTGTTTCAAGTCTTTTAAGTGATTAATTTCAACTTGAGTATTGGCTTGAAAACTTAGATTGAATATTGGTTTAAAATTAACCCCTCCAATTAAGATTTTCAATCAACACAACTATCATCAGAAAATTTAGGCATTTAAAATATATGTATCTGAAATTCATTAGAAATTTATCAGTTTAAGATTTTTAAAAAGTTAGTTTTGTCGATTCTAGTCATGATGAGAAGAATCAAAAAAGATAATTTGGACTTAAAAATTCTTATATTTATGATTTGAACATTATTAGAATTTACTAGACTCTTCAACTTCAATTCCTAAGAGGATAAAGATTGAACTAGTCGAGCAGGACTTATAACTTTGCTCTATAGACAAGATTGTCTGATTGATTGATTTTCAAAATATTAATCATTTGAATGCAAATTTGGTCTTAACCCGCGCAACATTCTTAAACTATTTGTTAAGATATTCAGTATTTTAGCTGGAGCCCACAGGTTTATAACTTTAGAGAATTATACATATTTTATTATTGTATTCATATCATGCATTTGTACGACCCTTGATTCACATGCATTATTAATTATTTTGAGCCTTATGTTATTCAAAATATAATAGCACATTTGACATACTCAGAGTATGCAAAAGCACTTATTATGAAGTATTTGCATGTTTTAAATACATTGTACCAAAAAATCATTTTTAAAGGCACATATAAGACTGAGATTATATAAGTTTGTCATATTTAAACTAATACATGGATGCACGTAAATATCCACTTTTAAGCTTTTTGAAGACCTTATGTTCAGCTCAAAACATATTGTGAATCCAATAGAGAGTTTAAATTTCAGGAACCCCATGCTTAAGTTATTACTCTTTATGCCCTAAGAGCCTAAATTTGAAAACCTAAAATTCCAAATATTTCTAAGACCTAGAAGTTTAAGTATTTTTTAAGCCTAAGGAGCCAAAAATTGAAAGCCCAAAATTCCAAATATTTTTTAAACCCTACGAGCCAACATTTTAAACGTTCATATCCAAATTATTTTAAAATTCAGATCATCCACACTTTAGATGATTTTATAAGTATAGATAGATTATTTTATAAGATCAGAAAGCGCAAATTTTAAGTTAATTTACAATTTCAAATCACCCAAAATTTTGGTAGTCTCCCAATCTCAACTCCCACTAGGGGACATGAAAGAATGTCAGTCTTCCCAATTATCTTTTACTGCGCCATGAGACACTACAATTGGGGAGCAAAAACATGCAGTTAAACCCACAGACTTAAAAGACATTATAGGCCTTAGATGTATATGCAAAAAGAGTCAAAGCGTAAGCAAGAATTTCCCTGAGCGGTACTTTACTATTCTCGAACGATATTTAATTCCCAATGACGGGGATTCGTGTTTTCTAGGAAGAGTATTTAAATCCCCTAATTTTATAAAAAATTTTCAAATGAGTTTGCAATTTCTCACAACGGTACTTAATTCTTAAGAAAGAGTAATCGAACTTCCTTTAATAAATATTTTAAAAATTACCCTCAACTCCACTTCGCTCTAACATTATATACCAACTTGGGTTGACACCGCCTCTGAATTATTGTCATTGATTTGGCATGGACATTGAGCTCATCTTTTGCCCTTGGATTTGTGCTTTGATAGACTTGTTGAAGTTCTTTATTTCGGTATTTTTGAAATTTCAAAGCTCCTTTTGTCCTGGTTTCATCTATCCTTCGGCTCTAGCTTTATGCTTTGACAGACTTGTTGAATGAATTGATTTGAATTGTTTCTATGGACTTTGTCAGGTGAATGAGCATGCATTCGGTCCTAGCTTTGTGTTTTGGCGAACTTGTTGAAGGATGTGTGTCAGCGAACTAGCCTTTGAGCATATGTTGAGTCATTGGCAAGAAATCATCAGTCATGTGCTTTGTGTTTTATCGAACTAGCTGACTATTAAATTCCCTTCGTTCATCATCAAGGTTTGAATGAGCTATGGATAACTTATTTGGTACTTTGCATTTTTGCTTTATTAGACTTATTAAATAAGAGAATTCCTCTGGTTTGAGTGATGATCATTCCGTAAGCTAATAATCTTGGACGATTGGACATGCCTTTGGGGGCCCTTTAATTTTCCTAGACCTCTTAACTAATCAAGAAAATATTTTTTATCTAGTTCGCTTGAGCTTATCAAGTCTAATATGTTCTTCATCATCAGACTAGCAAAATAGTAGTTTCTTCATTATGGTCGTTTTTATGGCTTGTTGAGTGAAGAGAGTTGTCAGTGACTCGACCATATTTGGGTTTGTTGAGTCAGATCTTCAGGACTTGCTTGAGTCATAGACTAAGACCGTGGAGAAGTTGTGATTCTTCAACTTAATGAACTTAAACTTATAGACTTGAAAGTCTCCTTTCTTATAGCACAACATCTTGAACTTGTATATTTGGAAATGTTTAGCTTGTTATCTCTTGGATTTAACATTAATCCTTCAATCTGTTGAGAAAGTCTTTTGGATCTAGGTCACTTGAACTCGTTAAATTAGATGACTTTGGGAACTAGACAACTCGCATCATCAAACTAATAAGATTAGGAGACTGAGAAGCAAATGACGTTGGCTTCTGCTAGTTTGCATTTGATGAACCCACTTCCAACGAGAATTGATGGTATCCTTCATTTAATTATTCTCGACTTATTGAGGAATAAGAAATGATCATAATCATATCCCGTTGACATAAATTTGATAACCCCTCCACCTGCGGGGTGCAAGCAGGGATCATCAATTTGGTTTTGTCTTACCCATTCAATCAGTTGAGAACCTCAAAATTTGGATCAATTGACTTATCAGGCTGGATAAATTTCAGTAGGACAATTGTTGCCATTAGATAGAGAAAACAATGGCTTCTTCACTACGACTGTTTTTATGGCATGTTAGGTGAAGAGAGCAGTCATCGACAATCATATTTGGGCTTGTTGAATCTGACCTTCAGAATCTGCTTGTCTCCTAAACTTGAGTTGTAACAAATTTGTGCTTCTTCAACTTGACAAGTTAAAGATTACCAGCTCAAAATTCTCTTAACTTTCAGAATTATAACTAGTAAAAAAGATCAACCTTCGACTTTCGAAATTGTCATGTTTGAAGATATATTCATTTTTGCTCAAATTGACTAAGTATAACTTTGGCGCCAATATGGTAATTAATTCAATTGAGGATCTGGTATACGAAACAATGTCAACTCAAATGTTAAAATATATAATAGATTTGGAAATCTCAACTTGAAGCTTGATATCAACCCAAATGATGGAAGAGAAATACATTTGGAGATCTCGGCCCAATGCTTGATGTCGATACAAATAAAATAAGTAGCCACAATCTTGATAACAAGGAAAAGTCTGACACTAGCTGAATAAATTTGAGAATCTCACTTAAAGCTCGATATCAATACAAATAAATATATGTAGTCCATTTATCTTGATAGCAAAGAAAAATCTGATGCGAACTTTGAGCTTGATACAAAACTCGAGCTAGCTTCTTTAGTTTTATGCTCAAACTCCATCAACCTTAGAGGAGTTCCTTCAATCGGTGTCTAGCACTAGTTCAGACCTTGTTAAGTTGGTTTTATGTTCACACAACAGTTTTTTGGTAGAGCAAACTTCACCTTGTGGCCACTTGACTACTTTGTGTCACGCATAAAACCATGAATCGTTTAAAAAATTCGTAAATTGACGCTACTTAAAAAAAACGAAACGTATAGGGTTAGAAAAAATATGTTAGTTGATTGTCACAGGTAGGGCTATTAAAAAAACTTGTTGTTTGCGAACAGCACGTGTTCAACTAGCTAAGTAGCTCGTGTTAGATTTGTTTGTTAAGAAAACGAGCTGAACTCGAAGTGTTTTTTTTTAGCTTAATTTATAAACGAGTCGAACACAAAAAAAAATTCGTTAAATCATGTTAGACTCATTTTGGCTAAAATTATTTAAATAATAAATAAATAATATATAATAGTTAAATTAATTATATATTTGATATGATGTCAAAATTTTGTTTATATAAATATTAAATATAAATTTTAGATTTTAGACATGTAAATACATAAGAATTAGATGTTATGTATGTCAATTTGTCTCGAATTTTAAAAAAAGATAATTTAGATGTTAGATATGTACATAAGAATTAGGTGGTATGTATGTAAATAGCTATTAAAAGTTTCCCAAAATTTGGCCCACTGCCCCGCCGATCCACCATTCATGTGTTACTGTGTATAAAAACTTTGGTGGTATATATGTTATTCTTCGACAATTCTCCCCCGCCTCACCACCTAGATGGGTCTGCCTCTTTATTTTGTCCCACATAGTGATACTCACAAGAATTCAGTTGCTAATCCTCTATAAATGTCAAAGCCAATGGCCAACGTAAGGATATTTGAAGTTATCACTTGTGGTGCTTATGCTCTTTGAGAAGGAAAAAATTTGCGTACATAAGACGTACGCAGAGCTGGGTACGTCTGTAACCTGCAAACAGATTACAGGGAGGATTTCAGGAGGTTATAACCGCGTTATACACCCTGTAACCTCCCTGTAACCTACCTATATATGAAAACAGAAGCGCGGAACTTACTCGAAGGTACAGGTAGGTTACAGGGAGGTTACAGGGGGTATAACGAGGTTATAACCTCCTAAAATCCTCCCTGTAACCTGTTTGCAGGTTACAGACGTACGCAGCTCTGTGTATGTCTTATGTACGCAATTTTTTTCCCTTTGAGAAGCTGCGTTATTTTATATTTTCATTTAAATGAAAATATATAAAATAAAAAAATAAGTTTGAATTTTATTCAAGTTGAAATTTAATTTCAAGCACGAGCTCAATTTGAATAAAATAAGTTTGAATTGAGCCAAGCTCGAACAAATTATTGACAAATAATTTCGAACATGCTCCAACAGATTATTAACAAATAATTTCGAACATGAGCCGAATACGGACAAAAAATTTTTAAACGAGCCGAACACAAACAAGCCTTTGGCTTGCTCCTGTTCAGCTCGTTTACATCCCTAGTCACAAGGTTATGCAGTTCACTAGTTCTCTAGAAAACCTGTGGTTATGTCGCTATATACCAATAGAAACCTATTTGTGATAGCATTCTCTATGGGTTTTGCTACCACAAAACAGGCTCAAGAGAATATCTAAGAAGCTATGAAAGCCAACTGAAATCCTCCACAAGTGTCTTATTATTCGCACTGAATGGTTGAGGCTTTTTCAAAGATTCAACATACAACAGGAGCTGAATCCAAGTAAAGCCTGGGTGATAAAGGAGATCAAACCAATAAAGGCAACAAATATAGATATTTCCTACTTATACTTGCCTTCAAATGGTAGAAAAAACGAGGAAATGTAATTATGGAGCGATAGTTTTAGAAAAACACAATAAAAGCAACAGAAGCAATTGATGCGGACTTTATGATACTGTTATGTAGCGCAATATTCATATATGGTAGTTTCTGAACTAAATTTGCCATACATATAAGGTTTGCATATTTTCTTAGAAAAACGTCAAGACCAGCTTTGATGATGCAATGGAAGATTTTTTGGAGAGGTTTCAAAAAAATTGAACATAGATGTCAAAATTGTGCTTCGCAATATAAAAAGGAATCTGCATAATATTTTTAAGTTACCAAAGATAATTTACCTTGGCCGCAAGAAAATTCCCACTAGCAACACTGACTCCCACTTCATGCCAGCGACTGTTTTCACCGTGTCGACGAAGATTTAATAGGGGTGGACCAGGAGAAAGCTTTGCTTCTATTGTAAGACGAATTCTTCCAGCTGCCTCCATTGCTGCCTCTAATGAATCAGAATCTGTTATTCGGTAACGACCAACATACTTGGCCTCATTTCCTACAGAGATGTAAAGAAAAACAATTTGTCAATTAAAGTTTGAAATGGATTAGGACAACAAGATGTGCCAAACAAGCATATCCATGCAAAAACCAATTATCATTCACATTTTGCACCCACCATAATCCTTTTAGACAAATATTTAACTGCATAATCAAACAAATAAAATCGATCATAATTTTTTACGATGACCCTGCGTTAAACACATAATAAAGGCGGGTTGCAAAGATGAAAATTGGTGGAGAGAACAACTGCAGGAGGCATAGAAATGAGAAGGACAAGCAAGAGGGAAAAAGGAAGAAATCAGAATAAAATTCCCTGGAAGGGCAGCAGAAAAGAAGGAAGAACCTTTTTAATGGTAAGCAGTGCAAGGTGGTTTAAGGCCAAGAGATTTGGAGGACTAAGACTAGGTACTCAATAAAGGACATGATAAATTTCTTTGAGTTCAATTACTAAGACAAGGCCTTCACTCTATACCTAGTATACCTAAGATTTAACTTTACATTTAAAGTACAACAAGAGCTCTCTTCACAAAAGATGATGAATCAACAATAAATTTGTTTGACTACTTGACGTTGTAAGTTAATTTCAGTCCACTGTGGTAATGCTAATAAAAAATTGTCATTTTACCAAAGAAAAATTCACACTGGATGTAAGGTGAATTTGATCTAGGTAAGCTGTTTACCATAGACAATTTTGATCATCTAGCACTTCCCATAAGAAAATCCTTAAAATCTTCGTTGAGTGCCACTATTCACTCATTCAAATGAAAAATATAAATAAATAATAATAGTTTTTTGTTTATTCAGAAGATGGTCTAAAACACCATCTTGTACTATAATAACAGTACGACATTTACGACCATGGATGTTATAAAAAGTGTAATCCTACTGACCTCTCTCAGCTAAAAGTTTATCAATTTGGGGTTGGGTCCCAGGAACGAGTACAAATTTGATCCCTAGACCATGAAGAAGTGAAATGTCCTGCAAAAAATTACTTAGATGGTGAAAAATGAAATATATGCAAAAGGTTTGCACTGGAAAAAGTGAAAATAAGCGTTCAACTGGCATGTGTTGGTAATTATCTCAGCTAAAATGCATACGCTGATCAACAGGCATGGCAGGAATAAAGCTGTTAGCAAATTAATGCTAGAACATACAAGCAGAAGGGAGAGGGAGGAACACTTCATCTCACCATCAAGTGTTCTCGCAAATGTACGATTTGTTTCCCTGGCACTTAAAACTTCTAAGATAATCTTCTTAATGAGCTAGCCATCTTTATCCCAAATTGGACATGTATCCAAGTGCTGAGTAGTAAGAAAATTAATGGTTAAGTTAAGCATGGTAGTAAAGATAAGGTTAAGATGGATCTAGAAATGATACATTTGGGAAGAATTACAGTGGAGTAGTTCGAGTGGGCCTCTTATGATTGTAAAATTGGAAAAAGACTTGATACTTGGATATGTATAGCAATGGAGAAAAAATCTGCCCATTAGCGCAACGTCAATTAAATTTATTCAAGAGGATTTGCTAAAATCAGGTCTAACATCACATACAAAGGAAAGAAAATAATGATTCATAAAGCCAACCCCAAAAAAGGTGGGTTAAGGCTAAAAATGAAAATGAAGAGGGAGTAGAGCAAGAGATCACAGCATGCCTAATGCTATCATTTCCATTTTAAAGTGTCAGCATCAACTAATTTCCCCCCTCTAAAAAATACAGCATGCATTGAAGGGTGGGAAAAGAGAAACGCAAGTAGGGGAAAAAAAAAACTAGATCAGGCTTATAAACATAAGAAAGAACTACCACACATTTTATGAAAACCACATTCAATATAAGTTATTTTTAGATTCAATTCAACTATGAAGCATGATATGCCAATCAGGAAACTTGTTTGAGTTCAATTTAAATTCATGTTGTCAGGACAATCCAATATATGAGATCAGAAATGGAATTGCATATATTACAACATTTCTAAACACATAGTTGGAGAAGTTTTTAAACAAAGGATGTGTCTTGGATATATATAGCCAGGTATATTTTTATTTCCCAATAATGTGCATAGCCCCGCATGCGATCTAGTCAAATTTAAAGGATATGCCTAGGCAACTATTATAGTAATTCCGGGCATCACGACTGTTATAATTAATTATGGTTATTTTTTTTTAATTTAAAATGTAAAAATGGTTTTTATGTTATAAAAATAGTTTTTGAATACCCAAAAAATTGGCAAAATTTTGCCAATAAAAGTTCCCACTTTTTAGAAAATTAGTAAAAAAAATTCTAACTGTCAAATCTCCATTTCATGTACAAATAAGCCCTACGGGTTAGGGGAAATCTCACAAGATCTTCCCCTCTTGTAGTTTTCAACTCCTCTTTAAAGAGGTTAAGCAAAGTCCTACTTAGGGGGAATATAGTTCCTCTTTATAGGCTTTAATGTGTCGCGATTAAGAGCACGGGGTTGTTCATTATAGATTGAGTCATAAAAAAATCCTCCATTTAATTCCTTCTTTGTTAGCTCCAACTCATTTTAAAAGACACTAAATATTGTCCAAAATTGACAAAACATAATTCCTCTTGTGGACTACAATGCTTCTCTACGAAGAGAACTGTTATTCTTCATAGATGGAATCGCGACAAAATTTTCCACCCCCCTTCACGTAATCCAATTCCTTCTTTATGGGATCCAAGTTTTTCCTCTTAAATGAGATTAAAAATTGTCATATTTATGCAGAAAATAATTCTCCCTCTATATAAAAAGAGGTTGTTTTTTATGTATAAAGTTGCTATCACCCAAGAGGACCAAGACTTGCAATTTTGATAGTGGGGCTTCGATCTTTTCATTTATAAGTATTGGGATCATCAAAATTTAGGGCTTATATTGAAGTTAACATGCAAAAAGGTGGCAGTATAATAGACATTAGTCATCAGATGATAGAGATGCACTGGTGGTGTTAAATTGGTGGCATTCTAATGGCAGTGAATCAATGATAATAATTTGACATTTGTGGATTGACGACAGCAATTCAACAATGATGATCAAATTATATTGATTAGATGGTGGAGGGCCCCCACAGCAACTTCAGTGGCAACCTGATCGTCAACAACAAGATTAACAACATTGATGGGAAAGTCCTGGAGACCATGAGTAGGCTCCCGTTCTTTCTCAGTCAGGGGGTTTCTTAGATGAGGATGGAGTCTGTAACACCTCTCATCAGTATGGTCAACCATCTTGCAATGGTTGCAGCATTATGAAGTTTGTGGTCCATCAACTATAACTAGATGGTAGTGATCTGACGACAGTGGTCAAATGATAAAGGTTTGAAAATGGTGGACCAGAGGGGATGGCCCAACAGTGGTGGTCAAATGATATTAATATGCAAACAATGAAGGCCTTTGAGCTCTCCCTAAGCTTTAGTCCCCATCTGACCCTTCAATGTTTGATTAATTTGTTGGAAGTAGGATGTTTTATGAACTCACAATCTGCTTGCAAAGTGATTGAAATTTTTGAGGATTTACTGTCGTATAAGATTAAGTTCTTTATATGAAATTATAGTGACTTTGGTTCCGCTGAGGCTTATGCCCTCAAAGATTTTTGGATTAATTAAAATCATGTATCTTCTAGGACTTTAATCTTACTAGATTTTTTAAATAAGGAAAACTTGCAATCAATCTTAAAATATATCTTGATGAAAAACGATTATATACCTTCAATGTCTTCAAAGACTTATAGGCTTTTTATTTTTTTGAGAGTATTAGCATCTTTTGAAACTTTAAACCTTATAATATTTTTTAATATATATATATGCACCTTTAGCTTTCTGAGATTACTTAATGAGCGGAAATCATATCAATCACTTACTATCATAGAGTCTTTCTAATTAATATAAATGTCAACTATTAACTTTTCATTGAGATTTTCTCATGGGTGTCTCTTCTATGCATTTTAGAAGAGAAAATGGCATGCGCCAACATGTATCAGCTTGAAAAATATTATTGACCATCAATGACATACATCAACCTTATAAATAATTGTGATAAATCATATTAGTGGATACTGATTTCTGAGTTGATGAAAGAAAACATCGGTGGAAGATGATGGTTGAATAATTATAGTCAAGTGACAGTTGTAAAGATCATAATCAAGTAACTGAGGTTAAGCAACCATATTTAGGTGAAGGTGGTTAAGCGACCCGGCAATTGAGGTTGAGCAACTATAGATAGGTGCTTATAATCGGATGATTGCAGCCGAGCAACAAAAAACGGTCAGCAATAATTAAATAGCTATAGTCCAGCATCAAAAAATGAGGGATTATCTTTTTGTGAAGGTAAGAAAAAAAATTGTATATATGTGACTGATGTGAAGAAATTGTAGCTAGGCACGAAAGATTAGGCATTTATAGTTAGGAGATCATAGGAGAGCAACAGACAAGCGATATAACTATCTGACAATGATAAACAGGCAGCATCAATGTTGGCTAATGTTGAAGAGGTTGAAAAAAAATATCATCAAGAATGTTTAACTTATTTGAAATTATTTGTCGTAGTGACATTAGACGACATTAATTTGTGCAAAAGAATTCAAAGGAAATCAGCTAAAAATGTTTGACATATCGACTGTTTCTTAAAGTGTTACTTGGCAATATCAGCTTGTGAAAAAAATGTCTAAAAGGTCCACCAATGAGTTTTGATTTATTCAAAATTTTTTATCAAAATATTATTGAACAATATTAGCAATGTAAAAAATGTCTACAAAAATCTACTATGGATGTTTGAAATATTTGATATTGTTTGTAAAGTATTACTCGACAACATTAATATGTGTGAAATCAATCGAAAGAAAACTACCAAGGATGCTAGATTATGGGTGTAAGAAATTGACCCAAAAAGCTCACTCGACTTAAAAAAAAATTAGATTTAGGTTTAACATAATTAATTTTAGAATCGAATTCGGATCAAGAATTCCAACATGTTTAATTTGTTACGTTGAGTTTAAGTTGACCCGCCAACTCAAAATTGAACAAAAATTAACCCTCAACCAAAATTGACCTGAACTTAAGCTGCGTTTGACCTGTCAACCTCAAATTGACATGAATTTGACCAAATAGCAATTATGCATATGTTAAATGGGTTGTGCGGTTCAAGGTTAGGTCAATCGAGTTTAAGTTAGACTTTTTAACCGGTGTCATATTCAAGTAAGGTTTGGGTCAAAGCAGTTTTGGATATGGTCAATTTTCAATTAAATTTGAACCTATTTGACACCCCTTTGTTTGGCATAAATGAGGTTAATTATAGAGATGAGTATTAAATAGTTTAAACCAATTGAATCGAACAGAGCATTCTTTGATGATTTGGTTCATTGATAAAATCATGATTCGATTTGTTGTCCCAAATTAAAAGTTATTTGGATTTTGGTTACAGGTTCGAATTGAAAAAAAATAGATTGAACCGAAAAAATTGAATTAGTTTGTGAGCAAATTAAATACATCAACAAATCAATTTAACATATTCGTCAAGCAATTGGTTTAATAAATACATCAACAAGCAATATGAACTAATTGAATGCACAAATCTTAATTAGAATTTCAAAACTTAGATAAACTAAAAGAAACCAAATAAATAAATTATATTTTGATTCAATTTGGTCAGGTTATATATCTTATTTGATCGGTTCAATTTTGTCTTTTTTTAACATGATTTAATTAGTTTAATAAAATTTTCAATTGATCCAACAAATTACACACCCCTAATTTTTTGGCGAAATGCCACTTGTTAATGTTAGCATCTGTAAAAGAGATTAAAGAAAATCCACCAAAGATATTTAACTTATTTAAGGTTATTTATAGAAGTGTTACTTGAGATATTAACTTATGTGGTTTAATTATATGAATTAATTGAATGCAATCGTCTTCATTATGATTTCAAACTTTAGATAAACTAAAATCAAAACAATAAATAAAATTATATTTTGATTTGATTTGGTT